TTCTGCTTTTTCGACGTATGGTGGTCTTGGCAAAGGCACCAATCGACTTATCGTAGCTATCGCCAACCACTTGGCATACGAAGCCTTTTGCAAAGGGAATTTCGCCGACGAAACAGCCTTGATTCGCCTGAAGGCTTTTCATACGAATAGGATTCGGAGACGATTTACTTTCGAGCTGGCTCGTTTCCTGTCCGTACGAACTCGTGATGTTTTTAAACGTCATGGACTGCTCATGGATCAATTTCCACCCCGGCCAATAGGTTGGGATTTCACTAGTACTACAAACGAAAACGATCATCATGATGGCGATGAGGGAAATTCGAGTGGCAACGATGAAGGAGGAGGAGCAGAGGGAACAAGAGGAGGACAAGACAGACACCAAGACAGCAGTCGAGAAGGGAATCATGGCGTGGAAGAGAGCAAGAGCTTCGAGCCAGAGGACCTCCCGCACAACAAAAGACGGAGAGACAGACAAGAAGAAGAGCTGCCAAAAAGTTGCTGCCAAAATGACGATGAGAATAGTGATGGTAGTAGTGGTGAAAGCAGGAAGAATGATCGAGAGAGCACTCCTAAACGAAGTCGAGTGCAGGATGACAGTGTTAGTAGACACGTGCAGTTTTCTTCTGTTATTACTACGGTATCTGTCTTTAATCCTGAGAATAGCGTAGCTCCCCCTACGACGCTCGGTCCCGGGGTCCCAGATAGTGGACTATAGAAACATTTTGTGTTTCCCGCCGCACTGAGACTGACGTCTTTTCATTGGTCAGCCGGTTAGCGCGGTCGATGCTAATAATAATAGCACACACACACACGCGATCAAGAGAAAAACAAGACACACACTCACGAACAGCGGATAGACGCAACACAAACGCGGCGCGCGTGCTGCTGCAGACCCGAAGAGCTGTACGCAGCGCAGAGGCGCACAATGCCCATGGATCTGGGGGTCATCGCAAAGACGAAGGTCGTCTACAGGAAGGAGCTGCTCGATGTGAAGGCATCAACCATGTTGTTGGTGACTGACACACTTCGCGCCCAGGCCAAAGCCCGCAAGATGAAGGCCGGGACAATGGGGCTGGCGCAAGGGCACCAACCTCATGTGCGGGACGCGGCTGAACTTCTCCAGAAAGCATGGGCCAGCGTCACCCCCCAGGATATTGCCAGGTGAGGTGTGAACATTGCCATCGCGATTTTGAATGTTCAGCTAGCGCGCGTGCACCTGGCTTCTGTGGTGCGATACTTGGGTGTGTACAGTAGTTCGGTTTCTCTTTTTTTGGCCGAGTATTCCAGCATCTGGACATCTCCAATCAATGTATCTTCACTACCAAAAGGGTTGTCTCTCACATCCCGATGGGTCAATTGTTCGTCTAAGGGCCGTTTCATACATGAAAAAAAATTGTACAAATTTTGTACAAATGTACAAATTGTCCGAAATTCCGGAACTTGTACAGAGGCGTTTGTCCAAATAAAGTCCAAAAATTCGGAACGAACCTGGGCGCCAAAATTTGTACTNTTTTTTTGGCCGAGTATTCCAGCATCTGGACATCTCCAATCAATGTATCTTCACTACCAAAAGGGTTGTCTCTCACATCCCGATGGGTCAATTGTTCGTCTAAGGGCCGTTTCATACATGAAAAAAAATTGTACAAATTTTGTACAAATGTACAAATTGTCCGAAATTCCGGAACTTGTAC